TAGGTTTAGGGTCTTTAGGGTTTAACACGAATAAATGCAGCTGTAAAACTGAAATAAACATTGCATTAATTAGTTGTTTCATTGTGTTTACAGAAAATATTTGTCCTAAACCGACCGAAACTGAAAGCCACATTTAAGGCCTCGTAACTTGAGATTTTAGTAAGACGGATATTACGCCGCCACAAGTTAATTAAGAGCAATTCTCCAGGAAAGTGAAGCAAAGTTGGAAATGAAAATTTTTAACCCCCCTTCATTTTTTGTGTATGATTACAGACCGAACAGACCGAATTGTACTCCACTCAGTCCTATTACCATTTTCAGTCGTATGAAAGCTCCTGCTCAAGCAATTAAGGATTTACACTACTCGTGATATTTAAAAATTCTTTCAAATTGCACTCGCCCAAAGGCTCGCGCAATTTTCAGAAAATTTTCAAATATCACTCGTAGTGCAAATTTAATTGCACTCGCATTCATACGATTACATATAGTAACAATAATACGCACCTGGTTCAATAATTGTTACTGAAAAATCAGGAGTATTTTAACTTGGATTGTTACTGGTACATTCTTGTCTCGACGTAAACAGAATGAGAAAGTGTAGGTAAGCTTTACGCCTATATGTAGACAGCGAGCAGTCTCCTTCTTTTCCTAGCGTTTTCCTTGCGTTTCCTAGCGGAGCGATCGAGCAGCAAGCGGCGTAATAATATTAACGGAGTTCCGCGCGCGGAGGATTTCAGGAACAAAAACCGACTACTCGTAGTCTAGCCTATGTGCACTGGTTTAGACCAAATGCTCGACAATTGAGCATGGCTTATGCCTCGTCCATACGACGTCGGACGATTTCAATAAGCTCTGAAAACGCATCAAATGTTTTCCGTCCACACTACGCCGAAAGAATTTAAAAACGCAACAATCACCGGTCATTTTGGATTTGTTTTTGAGGAAAACTCGGTCAGGGAAATCAGATAATTATTGTGACGCCATCGTGTTTGAAAAGCTCCGTTTTCAAAATGCTTGCCGTCCACACGAAAAGGAAAAGCCGTCGTTTTCAAATTGTTCCGGTTTGAATAGCGGTTCTGAAAAGTACCGTTTTCGTGACGGATTTAATAGTCTGTATTATAGGCTTAACCTTAGAAGTAAAGCTGCGTTTTGAATTTTTCCCGGCGGAGAGGGCCTTACACTTGGGTGTAATGTTTCAGACAAAATGCGCGACTTGCAGACCAAATGCGCGACAACTGAGCTTGACTTACGAAGTGAGCCAGTAATTTCATATGCTTCTCTTCGTCCAAGGGTAATGTATCAGGGGTTTCAGGGAAATTAAACTCAACGGCTTGGTGAAAACTTCTTTATTCTCCTCATCTATTCTACCAAAAATTCATATTTAACAAAAATTGTCCATGAAAACGTCTATGTCCGGGGGTGGGATGGGGGTTACTCTCCATACAGCAGTGCCATAGATGCTTGCTCATGGGTCAAACCATGTTTTTGCACCTCCACTTTATTCTAATTCAAAAAACTCGTCTGAAGATGGTCAGGAAAAAAGTTCATTCAAAACACGCCTACAAAACGAGCTTGAGGTACCTTAGTCCAGTTCTACCCGCCCTCTGTCATGCAAATTTGTAATGACATCTGCAAATGGTTAGACGTTTTTGTCTTCTAGGATAAGGACGATAAACCGTAGGCCCCGTCTCACAACTCTGAAATCCGAGGGTAAATTAAGTAATGTATGTATGTATGTATGTATCAAAGTATATATCAAGTTACTATCTATTTTGCTCATTCACACATGTTTGAAAAATCATCTTAAAATTCTTGTAAGTTTATGGCACTTGCCACGAAACAGAAAGGGTGGCATTTTAAATCGCATGAAGCCTGAAAAATTTAGCGAGTGCTTTGACATAGAAAAGCATCGCATTCAGGTATCAACACCATCTTTACGAAGAAACCGACGTTTAGCTCTGCTAGAGTCCAGCCTCTGTGTGGACCTGTGGGACCACTTCTCCTAAGCGACCATTATTTCGAAATAACAAAATTTTGCTTGTGAAATCACTTTAATGGAGCTCAGTCACGGTTTGCGCACATTGAAAAGTTTAGCCTCAATTTTTCAAATTCGTCGTTAGTAATCCGTGTTAATCTTCTCCATCCTTAGCCATCCTTGTTCCTTTGTGGGTTTATCATTATCTCTGGTGTTTTTCTATCTTATTAAACTGCTATTTTCAGGTTTCCTACCATTAAAATGTAATTTTGTATGTGGCCAAAATAACTCAAAATTCCGTGACTGAGCTCCTTTTAACTTCATGTGCGAATGCGACCACTACCACTTTTAGAGCTAATGGTAAGCAATTTCATCTTCCCTCGATCACACCCCACTACAGACGCCAATTGTTGAGGCAGACGTGCTTTAACCCTGATTTGACAATAAATATTGCTCCCAGGCTAAAAGAGTTATTTCTCCGATGTTCGCGACTGACTATATTCGTGATAACGCTGGTCTTGCAACCGCCTCTTCAAAGCCACCATATAAATTAGGCGTTTTAAGTGGTCACTTACGGGAGCTTCCACTATATTCACCTTCAAATCTACTAAACAAAATTTGTTAACCTCGGCGCCAGACTCTCTTTTCTTCTCGTGACGAGAGAGCCTGGTGGTGAAGTCGAAGGAAATTTGAGGGCTGTATGACCGGCAGCCGGTCGAAGTTTTAAATAGACTAAATTACTGGCACTATGTGAAGTAAAACAACGTAAAAAGAACATTGTGCCAGGCGAAACCAAGAGGGTCGCCTGCATGGCGAACGATACTTATTACCACTGAGCCACCGAAACCGGCTGGCAGCTTTGGGAATATTTTAAGTACTGTATATATCGTGTCACCCTTACCATTGTTGAAAGGTAACTGTAAACAGGCTAACCGGAATGCTATTCAGGCCAACCAGAGTGCTTTTCAGGCTAACCCGCGGAGTGCTATTTAGCCTAAACTACAATAAAGGTCATTTAGTCTATTTAAAACCTTGATCGGCTGCCGGTCATTTAGACACTTCGTTTTTTCTTTTCTTAAACAGGATCATATTTAAAGTCACTAGCTACGTCCCAGCTAACTCTCTCTTGAGCGTCTTCATTCGGCAACGCATTGAAAATCCCCGCTAATCTTTCGGAGCGTTTCTTTCTGAAATATGCAAGATAATCATTTTCGGTTCTTGTCACCCTCTCGCATTTTTGTTTCAGCTCTGGCGGGAGATCCGACTTAAGCGTTAGTCCCTTAACATACTTATTGCCGTAAACTAGTTGATTGCTTACTTGGTCTGTAAAACATTGACTCTTCAAGTCAGCTTTCATCCGACGAAACGTGGCAAGATCTTCATAAAAACTCTCCCCTTCCATTTTGATTTTGTTCCAAAGCGTTTGATTAAAATGTTCAAAGAGCAACACGTCGGCCTTGTTCCACCTCTTGATGTTTTCTATAATATCGTCGCTTATACTCGAGGCTCTCTCTTTGTCGAGTCTTTCATTGGTTTTCATAAAGAGAACATCTTCCAATTCCCAGCAAAGAACGCGTTTTAGAAGTACCGCGGACTCATCAAAGTAATCAGAGATCATGACCAAATCGAATTCCTTGTCCAGAAACGCAACGTAATCTTCGATGGCTTTTGCGTCTTGGTAAAATTTGAAATCCAAACCCAGGTCAAACGACTGGGGATTTCTGGCTAAGCGTGAAGATCCTGTTTTTGTGATATCTTTAAACTGAATTCCTTTCTTTAGAAATGCCTTCAACGATTCCGTTGGGTCCCCACCAAAACCGAAAATTTTGCCAACGCCCATGTAGTTGAAAACAGATTCATACTGTTCCACCGGGTTTCTAATTATCGTAATGTACTTGCTGGCATCATGCGGGAAGAGAAAATTCATCGTTTTCTTATTGAATCTTGTGTGACTGGCCAGGAAATTCGGTCGAGTTCCGTCGAAAGGCAAGGCCTGTCCGAGGCGAAAGCGCGTAGGCCAACCGATCAACGTGTCGCCGCCAAGAACAAACGTGAGCCCTCGAGCGTCGCCATAGCGGAAGAGAATATTGGTGACAGTGCTGGATCCAGCTTTGTGTGTCTTGAGGAAGAGGACATGTTCAACTGGAGAACACTTTAGAGCTGTGTTTTGATTTTCACTCGACGCATGTGTGACTGGAGTTTGACTCGCTGCTTCTTGGTTTTCCGCGGCACTCAGTGCACGTGTGGTCGTACCGACATCTGTTTCTGCCCTATTAAAGGAGAATAAATAAAAATTAATCAAAGAAAACGGTCACGTCGATGGCCTATGCTTAACTCGGGTGCCAGCCAAGCTAAACTTGTTACTGATTTAGTAAATGGTTTGAACCCAGGAGTATCAGTGGTTCGTATAGAGTTATCGTCCGGGTGAGTGTAGTTCAACAACAACTACAACAACAACTTGACAAACTTAAACAACTGTTACCGACTAACTTACTTGACACTGAGAGTGAAGAATGATCATCTCAGTTAATTTTCCAATTTAAGCAATTGGAAAGAAGAAGCCTGAAAAAATCAGGGCTTCAACGGGATTCGAACCCGTGACCTCCGCGATACCGGTGC